ATACCTTTGATCAGCAAAACTAAGAACTCAAAGGGGAACACATACTCTCTAGTAAAACTTACTTGTTCTGTCTGTCTACGGGAGGTGGATGAGGGAGCTGGAGAAGTGGCCTGGCAGTTAAGAGCATGAAGTGCTCCAGCAGAGGACCTGAATCCAGTTCCCATTACCCATGGATAACCATATATGACTCCAGCTCCATGGGGAACCCCATACCTGGGCCCCTGCTGGCACCTGCACGCACATGCACATACATGCACATAATTAAAGGTAAATTAAAAAATCTTTTAAGGAAAATTCAGATGTGATATACAGAGCACAGTGTATAATGTATAACAGTTCTGGGGTGATGCATCTGTCATGCTTTCCACACAGCATGAAGTCTTGAATTTAAAAATCCCAGAGTAGTGACATAGTTATAATCCCAGTACTGGATGGTAGAATCTGCTCACTCCAGCCTAACCAGTGGGTTCCAATGAGAGACATTTTCAAAAAGCAGTGAATGGCTCCTGAGAAGGAACAACCAAAGTTGTCCTTGGTCCTCCGCACACAGAGGAAAGTCATGCGGCAGTATAGATTAAATGCTTTCCTCAGGAAAACGGCCTTCTTGCAAGACTCCAGAAAGACAGCGTCTCTCCCTTTCATGTGGCATCTTAAATCAAAGAGGGGCATCTGTGCCACGTGGCATTTCCAATTCTAAGGAGAGGGGAATTGTGATATCCCCCTTCCTTGAAATTTATTGTTATGGAGGTACTGGAGGTGGTAGGGAACCTGATGGGGGGGGGGGGGCAGGGCATCCCCAACAAACTTCAAGCCTACTAATGTGTAAGTAGCTACATGATTCTGTCACTTGTTAACTGTAAATCAGTATCTGTTCAGTTTTCCCACTGTGCTAGTTTGTGATGTAAACTGCTACTGTGTGAGTGAGCCTCTCTCTTACTGTGAAGCAGCATCATACTGTTTTCAGTTAACAGTGTGGTGTAAAGCACTCGCCTGAAGGATGTCTTCTCACTTGATCCTTGTTCACAGTAAATTTTTATGTGTGTCATATTTTAAAGACTCATTTTTTAATTATGTCTGTAGGTATGTGTATGTGAGAGTAAAGGTGTCTGTGGAGCACAGCAAAAGGCTCTCATGGAGCAGGAGTTAGAAGGGTTTATGAGCTGACTTATAGGCGTTAGGAACCAACTCAGGTCCTCTGGAAAGGCAATTACATAGATTTAACCACTGTCATTTATATCCAGGCCCAGGGCAGAAGTTCTTAAAGGTAAAAATTAAACACAGCTTCTTCCCTTTTAGAGTTAACATTGAGGTAAGCTGATAAATGGAAAAAAAAAAAAATGGGGACATAGTATGGAAAGAGCACCTCAGGCTGAAGTCTTGACACCGTGAATCAAAGTGGGCTGAAGGGATGGCTCCACAGGAAAGGGCTCCAGCTGCTCTTGCAGAAAACCTAGGTTTTCTTCCCAGCACCTACAAGGCAGCTCACAACCATCTGTAACTCAAGTTCCATGCCATTCATGTTGTACACGGAAATGCAGGCTGGCAGAGTACCATACACCTAAGAAAAGAATTCCAGCACAAAAAGCATTTGTGGTAAAGGTGCCAACAAAAGAAAACATTCTAGAGAGATTCCCAATAAGAATGTTAAAGTGGCAACAGGCATGCTTAAGGCCTACACACACATGGCTTTTCTCCTTTCCCAGCTATAAACCTTTAATTTTCTAGGACTCCAACCAGAAACCCCATTTACTGTGTAAGGATGTCTTAACTCCTTTGCGAAATTTTAGTATTTTCCTGACTTTAGTATGTTGTGGTCTCTTCTAATGGACTTCATTAGAGCCACTCTCTAATCTCACATATCAAAGATGAAAAAAAAAATTGTCCTTCTTAGCAACTCTCTGAGATGTACCTTGAGAGCCACTAAAATAGTAAATATGTTGTCTTACTTTGAACAGTGCTATGATGAAACACCATGACCAAGGCAACTTATAAAAGGAAGCATTTAGTCAAGGGTTAGCTTACAGTTTTAGCCCATGAGCATCAAGGCAGGAAACATGGGGGCAGTGCTGGACCAGTAGCTTAAAGCTCACATCTGTCTCCAAGCTGTAGGCAGAGAGAGAACACTCAAGACTGCATGTCTTATAGTCAGTGTCCTACTGCTGTGAAGAGACACTATGACCAGGACAACTCTTAAAAAGGAGAGCAGAGCCAACATATCTGGATACAGGGGGTCTAGTGGAGACTGATGCACCAACCAAGGACCATGCATAGAGAGGACCTATGCCCCTGCTCAGATATAGCTGACAGACAGCTCAGTCTCCATGTAGGTTACCTAGTAAAGGGAGCAGGGCCTGTCTCCGACATGAACTCTGTTGCCTGCTCTTTGATCACTTCCCCTAGGTGAGGTGGCCTTGCCAGGCCTCAGAAGAAGAGGATGCAGGCAGTCCTGAAGAGACTTGATAGTCTGGGCTCAGTTGTTAAAGGAGGAGGGCTTCTCCTTTCTGAGAACAGGGATAAGGAGGAAGCGGGGGGGGGGGGGGGGACCGGGAGAGACGGAGGAGGGGCCTACGATCAGGATGTAAAGTGAATAAATTAATAATAATTTTTAAAGGAGAGCATTTAATTGGGGGCTGCCTTACAGTTCAGAGGCTTAGTTCATTATCATCACGGCAGCATGCAGGCAGACATGTGCATAGAGAGCTGAGAGTTTCACATCCAGATCAGGCAACAGGAAGAGAGAGACGCTGGGCCTGACTTGAGCACTTGAAACCTCAAAGCCCACACCCACTGACACACTTCCTCCAACAAGGCCACAACACCTAATAGTGCCATTCCCTATGAGACTGTGGCAGCCATTTTCATTCGAACCACAACACTGGACCTGGAGTGGAATTTTGAAACCTCAAAGCCTATCCCCAGTGACATACCTCTAGCAAGGTCACACCTCCTAATCCTTCCCAAGCAGCTCCACTAACTGGGGACCAAGCATTCAAACATATGAGCTTATTGGGGCCATTCTCATCCAACCTAATGATCCATGAAAGATAGTTATTGACAGCCATGGTTTTTTAGCCAATTAAAAGTTTTCAGTCCTTTTTATTGACGACCTGAGAAAGTGCAGGCCCATGCCTCTGAAAAGTCTCAGACTTTGCAGTTTGGTGCCCAAGCTCAGGGATGTAGAGTTTTTAAAGACAAAACCACAAAGGCCATAACTTACGTCAATGTTAGATGAGAGTCAAAGTAACCTTAAAATGTTTATTCCTGGCAGAGCCTAGTCATTATTTCAGATATAGCATCAGTCACTCGTTTATGTATCTTTTCTTGTCATTTTAGTTTACTAATTTATTTTGGTTACTACATCTGGACCATAGTTGAGGCCATGGAAATCTCAAATGTGCTGTCAAGGCAGATGTGACCATTGGTGGGCAGAGGGTAGAGGGTTGAGAATTGTCTAAGCAAACATAAAATGGAGTCAGAACAGTATAGCTTTACCTTAGTCAGTTCAAAATCACCACTGCTGAGACTCTTAGTGCAACCCTTGCTTGGACTCCTATGAGCCTCCTGGGTACCCTTAGATAAGGATGTGGGCAAGAGGAAGAGCTCCTTTGTTAGAGACTGAATTACATCTCACATGAACAGACATTTTATTTACCCTAGAAAACTCAATGGGAACTCAATCCTAGATCCCAACCTATGTTAGGAATGTCTTGAGGGAGAATCCAGGGAACAAAGGGAATTTCTTACAAGTTTCCCCAAGGGTGGGTGTTTCCTTCTGGCCTTTGAGGGCACCTGCACACAGGTGGTGCACATTAACTCAAACAGTCTCTCTCTCTCTCTCTCTCTCTCTCTCTCTCTCTCTCTCTCTCTCTCACACACACACACACACACACACAAATAATGAGTATGTAATAATGTTCTTAATGCTTATTGTATAGTGTAGGTTTTAAACTTTTTGTTTGGTTACCTTAGCAGGGTTGAGTGTGTAGATTAGTAATAGAATTGCGGTAGATACTAGCATTTCTAATTTCTGGGTTTGATCACTAGCACAGGTGGGCTGAGAAACTCAGGACAGGAAAGTTGATTTGGCAGATAACACCTTGGGCTGTTAGGATCCTGGAAACTTCTGCTAAGATTACATACCAACCTCTATTGGGATCCCAAAAGTTCCCTTTTCTGCCCTATAAAACCTACAAGGTCCCATTGCCACCCTTCATTTTTCTAATTAAAGGGCTGTCTGCTTCTAAAGACAGTCTCTTTTATTTCCACTTTGCCTCGATCAGCTCTGATTTAAGAATTCCTCCTAGAATATACTCTGTAGCCAGACACTTGGGTTTTTGCTCTACTGTGAGTGAACCTGGTGCCTAACTGATAGTAAATATTTCCTAATTGAATATATCTGTATCTATTCTCTATGACATTTAGAAAAAAAGCTTCCCTTTTCTCTAACATACACGCGCATTACTCACACAAAATCCAAACTTGATTCCCAAGGACAAAACCCCTGGATTAATAAAATTCTGCTTTATGTAAACCAACATTGAAAAACGTGGAAAAGTGTGAAAGAACGGAACTGGGTAGCGTGGTGAGGGGATGGGAGGGCTGGCTGTGTACCATTCGTGAGTCTTCACACTCCTAACTAGGATAGTCCAAAAGAAGGGAGCGGCAGGGGGCTGGAGATGTAACTCAGTGGTAGAGCATATGCATAGCTCGTGCAAGTGTGGGTTCCTACTCCACGGTTGAAAGAGAAACAAAAACAAAGAAATTTAAAAAAAGAAAGAAAAAGAAAGTTACCCGAAGAAGAAAAACAGCAGCTAACTCCACTGATTCTAAAGGCCTAAAGGCCTCGGCGAAGCCCTGCAGTCTGGAAGGGGCCGTGGTGCCCCAGAAGCGAGTACAGCACTTGGCCGGACCCTCTACACTCACGCCTCTATGGTAGAGCCCGAGGAACCGGAAGTCGGCCACGCCGGGGGCGGGCGGGGCGGGGCGCGGAGGGGGCGGGGCCTCCGCCACCACCCGTGCTGCGGACGGAGGCGAGATGGCGGCCACTGAGGGGGTCGGGGAGTCTGCGCCAGGCGGTGATCCGGGACAGCCCGAGCAGCCGCCGCCCCCGCCTCCCCCGCCGCCAGGGCAGCAGCCTCAGGAAGAAGAGATGGCGGCCGAGGCCGGGGAGGCGGCGGCGTCCCCCATGGACGACCAGTTCCCGAGCCTGTACTCGCCCACCTACGTCTTGTACAGGTAACGTCGTCCCGCGGGCCGCGGCGCTGGAGGCCGGGGCCGAGGTGCTCGCCGCGCCGCGGACGGGCGGACGGGGGCGCCCTCCGAGTCGGCGCGGCCCGGGGCGCGCGCCGGCGGCGCCGGGGTGCGGTGACACCTCCGTGGCCCCGTGGTGCTGTCCGGACGCTAGGCGCGCATCACCGGGAAGGTGCGCTTTTGATAGCTCGCCTCGGGATAACGCAGGTTGAACAGCTAGATTTGCCCTCCGGAAACGCCGTCTTGGCTTCTGCCGACAGGAGAGAACTTTCTTGCCTTTCCTTCATTTTTGCCACGGTCTGTCCTCAGCCCCTCTGCTCTTTCCTCCCTGTGTCCCCTGGTTCCCTGTCGGAAAGTGCTTACTGTCTTCCGTAGTTCTACCTAAACACTTTCAGTGTCTCGTTTGCCATGTTTTTTATGAATGAGTGAAAGGCAATATGCAGCGGTTTCTACCGTTGAATTAATTGAGTTTGGTTGTGGGGTGTTGCCGTTGATCCGAAGCTACTTATGTATTCAGACATTGATTGCTTGTCCCCTTTAGTGTCCTGCAAGCAAATTCTCACATATCCAAAATGACGTTGTGTGAACTTTGCCTCTCAAATTATCCATGATTGGCCAACAAATTGCCTCCAGCCTGGGCCGAGCAGAAGATCAGTGTTAAACTGTTGTTTTGAGACTACTCCCTGGATTGTTTGAATGCTTACAATATGCTGAACAGGTTTTAAGCACTCATTATCTGTTATTCATTCTCAAAATAGCCTTCCAAAATTCATCTCATATTCGAAGAAACTGACATTCAAGGAGGTTAAGTAACTTCCTTAATGTCATACAGGAAGTTGTAAAGCTAATATTCCAACATAAGCAGTTGTCAGATTCCAGAGCCTTCTCTCACCCACGCCAGAGAGACATCTTCCCACATCCCTGGCCCCATCCGTTGGTGACCCTGGAGTCATCTTTGTAGTTGACAGTAGCTAGTATTTCTTAGTTCGATTATTTTAGTGTTGAGACATCACACCTAGGACTTTGTGCCTGTGTTCTGCTTCTTGAGATATATCCCCAGCCCTACTTAGAGTTTAAAATATCAGTTCCTGGTAAAATTCAGGTTTTTAAAAATGCTAACTTCAGAATCTTACTAAACGAATGAGTGAGATTAATTTTAAGTTAAAACATGGATACCTTTTGGAAGACCACATTTTGCCAGACCATAAATTTGAAATTGGTGATGTATAAATGTTTCTTTAAAAAAACAAAACAAAACGTATTTTATGTGTATGTTTGTGTTGCCTGGTTATGTGTCTATGCTCATGTGCCTCCAGAAGCCCTTGGAGGTCAGAAAAGGACATCAGATTCCCTAGAACTGGAATTATAATTTCAAATCTCCATGTGGGCGCTTTAAACTGAACTCTGGCCCTCTGCAAGAACAAGTGCTTTAACTACTGAGCCATCTCTCCAGCCCCTTATTCATTTTTCGTAATCCAAAGGTGGTTGAGTATAATCATGGGGAACATGTCTGTTTTCAGGGACAGGGCGGAATGGGCTGATATAGAACCAGTGCCACAGAACGATGGTCCTAACCCAGTGGTCCAGATCATCTACAGTGAGAAGTGTAAGTTTGTGTTCCTTAGGGAATCTCTAAGTTAAACTTCTAACAAAGTTGAAATATACAACCATGTAGAAAAGAAGTGAGGGAGATTCTTACTTAATAAGAATCTGAATTACTTATGAGTTAATGTTGTTTTCTTTGTCACTTGTCTTCTATTTTGTTCAGGGAGTAGATATTCTAAGTCATGAATGTTACATCATAATACATAATAGCTATTGTATGGTTGTGCTTTAAATTTGCATTTGGAGTATAACAAGTGAGTTACTGTTTTATTTAGAATAACCTTTAGTTGCTCAAGTACCAGCATTTTAAGATACATTTTAACTATGTAGTGTTAGACTCAGTTGAAATGTCTGTGCTGATGTTTTCTTTGACAAAGTAGCCTTTTCTTAAATGTGAACTGTTTGTAAATGGGAGGTCATACAAATGTTGATTGTTCTTCTAAGAAAGGATAAATGGATGAAATGCTATTTTTGGAATTTTATGAGTTTGTATGTTCATATCTGTATATATTTTTACTCTCAGTTAATGTGTTGTTTTCTAAGATTCTTTTTTGCAAAAATAATTTATTTATTCCTTTACTGAATGTGAAGTTGTGGTAACAAATGTTTGAAAACAAAGAGCAATGTTATGGGGATTGCCATATATCAAGTATGAAAATGGAGTACCAAAGAGTTAATATGTCATAGTAGTACAAAAAGGAGGGTGGTAAGCGCTGAAAGTAGGTCATCAGTATATAAGAGGCTTTAATTGTGTTTAAAAAGTGCTTTCATCAATGGCTATGCATTTAGATAAAAACATGATTGTATTACTCTCTCCTATCCTAATGAATTGAAAATAAAGGTGAACTAATGTTCTGAAACAAAGTAAGTAGGCTGTATATACATACATAAGAGAGTAATCATCGGGTAGGGATGCACACTGCTAGAGCACCTGCCCGGCATGTGGATTTGATCCCCAACAAAACAACAGATTGTCTCTGACTAAGAGACATTGTCAACCATCTCTCAGCTGAAAACAAGACAAGCAAAGAAAATAATTGTGATAAAGGCATTATGAGATTAGATATAAAATATTAAGGAAAAATTTCAGAATATATAATAACTACATGGAAATGTTTCCTGAAATATCTCCACATAATATTTCTACAAAAAAAAAAAAAATTTACACAGAAGTGTTTACCTCAGGATGAGAGAAATGTAAGCCACAATTTTTTCAGATTTGTAAGGTTGCTTGGGGGCAGGAGGGTGAGACAGGTTCTCACTTTGTAGCTGTGACTGGCCTAGAACTCATTATGAAGACCAGGCCTTGAATTCACAGGGATCTACCTGCCTCTGCCTCCTGAGGGATGGATGGGGACATTTTCTGAGTTGAAGCTCCTGCTTCTTAGATAACCCTTGCTTGTGTCAAGCTGACAAAAAAAAGTAACCATCCCATTAAGTTAAACCAATCAAATATTGTAAGGTAAATATATCAAAGTTTAAAACTTACACAGTAGCAAAACTATAAGTTAAGAAGCAAACATTATGGGAAAAGTTATGTTTCAGAAAGCAGGACTGATAATCAGAATTTGGTGAAGAACCTTATACAACAATGAGAAGACTATGTTAAAAAATGAACAAAATGTGTGAACTGAAAAGCCACAGAAAAATGAAAGTCCATTGGCCATTAAATAAGAAATGGATAAAAGATATGACAATTAAAATAAGAACTTATGTTGACCTGTGAATAAAATGGTGAAATTAAAACTGTCAAGCTCCATCCATCGTAATACCACACAATAGTTTTCAGATACCTAGTATCTTTGGAAAGCTGTATGTACAGCTGTAAAAATTAGGAAGTACTCAGGTCTGAATGCCAAGCATTTTTAAAGATAGATTTATTTATTTATTTATTTATTTATTTATTTATTTATTTGCTTGCTTATTTATTTATTTATTTATTTGTTTGTTTGTTTGTTTGTTTGTTGGTTTTTCAAGACTAGGTTTCTCTGTATAGCTCTGGGTGTCCTAGAACTTGCTCTGTAGACCAGGCTGGCCTCGAACTCACAGAGATCTGCTTGCTCTGCCTTCCCAGTGCTGAGATTAAAGATGTGTACAACCAGGCCTGGCAATTTATTTTTATTTTATATAGATGCATGTTTTTGTATGTGTCTCAGCATCACGTGCATGCAGTGTCCTTAGAGGCCAGAAGAGGGCATAGAATCCTCTAGAAGTGGAGTGACAGGGTTGTGAGCTGCCGTGGAGGTCCTCAGTGGGAGCAGCAAGTGCTCTTAACGGCTGAGCCATGTCGTCAGCCTCTGAGAGCGACTTCTGATTCTGATTCTGGACTCACTCTAGCATTCAGCATAGTGTAGGTTTCGAAGAGATGGCTGAGTAGCTAAGAGTAGAGGACCTGAGTTTTTTTCTCAGCGCCCACATGAGGCAGCTCATAACTACCCATAACTCCAGCTCCAGACGACAAGTCTGCTGGCCTCCACAGATACTTGTGCACAGCACACGGAAATTAAAGTGAAAAATTAAATCTCTTTTAAAAAATAGATGCTGAGTAGTTAAAAGCACAGACTTTGGAGTCTGATGACCACCTGGCTTAAATTATGACATGTTCACCTCACCAGATCTCTATCCATGAACACATTGTTTAGCCTTTTTGTAATCAGCACCCATAGAAAAGTGTAAATGATGACCGTAAAAGGAACTGTTGTACAGATGAGTGGATTTATATCAAACACGCTAGTACAATGTTTGTCTCGTAGCCAATACCAGGAATATCAGTTGTTAGGATATGCAGCAGTGTTTGAAACAGCAAGATCAAGGGAAACACCTATATATCTCAGAGAGAAATAGATTAAAAATAAAACTTATGACTCTTACAACCATTAAGAAGATTTAGATCTGTTATAACATGAACTTAGATAAGGTATTTGGGAGATTTGATTTGGCATTAGCCTCTAATACTTGTGGCAAGCATTATTTGGCTTACATAGCTCATGTGTTGTGCCTGTTGATGTGGTACACAGCTGTAACCCTAGCACTTGGGAAGCAAGAAGGTTAGGAGTTTAGAGCTAGCCTCGGTTGTACAGCAAGTTTAAGTCCAGCCTGGTAGGCATTAAACACTATCTCCACAAGATTAATAATACAGTGATAAAGTGGCCCAACCACCCACGTTTTCGACGATATTTACTTCCTACAAATACCACGTACATGTAATGGGGTGCATGCTGTGATGCTAGTGACCCTGACATACTGTGTGTTTCCTTCTCCAGTTAGAGATGTCTATGATTACTTCCGAGCTGTTCTGCAGCGCGATGAGAGAAGCGAACGAGCCTTTAAGCTCACTCAGGATGCTATTGAGTTAAATGCAGCCAACTATACAGTGTGGTAAGTAAGAGAGTCCATTAATATTTACTGCTAGCAGGTCTCATGTTTAAGCACAAGTGACTCCTTTCTTTCTTAACTGAGCTTTAATTTTCATCAAAATAATAAGTCACATATTTGCCTTAAAGTCTGTTGAATGAAAAATAACAGTCTCTGCCTCAGTCCTTTGTGCCAGCAGAGACCCGTTCCCGTTTTCTTGAACTGACTTCTGTGTACCAGATAACACTGTGTCGCTGTTTGTCCCTGCATTGTCGGCATAATTCTTTCCGTGAAAGATGCAGAGTCAGCTGCGCTTCCTTCTGCCACAAATGAGTTATGCTTCGTGCTCTTTGTGTCTCGTAGGATAATTACATGTCCTTTAAGAGATCACCGGAGGGTTATTTCTCATTAGTTTTTAAACTTACATTTGTTGGTGTCTGTGTACAGTGCACCCAGGTCTCAGGGACTGACCTCAGGTGCTCAGGCTTAGTGTCATGCCCCTTCACCCTCTGAGCCAACCCTCTTGTTTTCTGAGTTAAGCTCTATTACAGCCCACGTTGGCTGTGAAGTCAGGAGGTAGCTGAGGAAGACTGATGGTGCGTCTGTGTCCACCTCTTGGGGCTACAGTTACAGACATGCATCCCATGACCAGTGGCATATATGCTAGGAAACATTCTGTCTTTTGAGCTGGTTTTGTTTAGTTTAGTTTTCTTTGTACCAGAAATTCCTCTCCCAGACTCTATGATATGTAAACATTTCTTTACTACTGAATGTATCATACCCTGGTATCTCTGCAGACTGTGTAGATCTTTTGTCTTTTACTTTTTTTATTTGTTTTTAATAGAAAAAAGAACTCAAGGTTTCACTGTGCAGACCAAGCTGCCCACAAACTCACAGAGATCTACCTGCTTCTGCATACACACACTCTCTCTCTCTCTCTCTCTCTCTCTCTCTCTCTCTCTCCAGTGTTGGGATTAAAGGCATAAACCAACACACTCAACTCTTTTTCTTGATTCACATTTTTACAGAGCACATCCTTGAGCAGAAGAAATCTTAGAAGTGTTTCAGATGGGGCTGGAGAGATGGCTCAGTGGTTAAGAGTACTTGTTGCTCGTTTTTGTGGTTGGTTGGTTGGTTGGTTGGTTGGTTGGTTGGTTGGTTGGTTGGTTGGTTGGTTGGATTTTTGGTTGGATTTTTGGTTGGATTTTTGGTTGGTTAGTTGGTTGCTTTGGTTTTGGTTTTGGTTTTGGTTTTTTCAAGACAAGGTTTCTCTGTATAGCCCTGGTTGTCCTGGAATTCTCTGTAGACCAGGTTGGCCTTGAACTCACCTGCCTCTGCTTCCAAAGTTCTGGAATTAAAGGTGTGCTGTTGCTCTTACATAGGACCTGGAGTCATTCCCCAGCACTCAAAGTAGCTCACACAACCACCTGTAACTCCAGTTCCAGAGGATCTTATGCCCTTTTTTATGCATGTCACTGTGCGCATGTAGTTGGTACACAGATATACATGCAGACAAAACATTCAAATACATAAAAAACCTTTTTTTTGAGTTTCAGATTTATTTAAAGCCTTTAACTAACAGACTTCTACATTGGAAGCTATACTATATTCTTGCAAAAGTTTGCAGTCTCCTATTTTTTTTTTTAGCCTCAATTGTGGAAAAGATTCCCATTCTTCTTTTAAACCCTTTTTAAAAACGTATGCAAGTGTTTTGCTCACATGTGTGTATGTGTGTGCCACATGCATGGCTGGTTCTGTTAGAGGTGAGAGGAGGGAGTAGGGTCCCCTGGAGCTGAAGTTATAGGGCAGTTGCAAGCCAGCATAGAGAGCTGAACCCAGACAAGAACAAGTGTCCTTAAGCACTGACCATCTCCCAGCCCTAAAGCCTTATGTTAACCTCGTGTAAGTTGTAGGTTTATATATTCTTCTCTGTCTTCTCTCTGGACTGACTTTCAGCTTTGTAATAAGCCTCCTGGATTATCTTATCTTGGGTTTGTTTGTTTGTTTTCTTTAGTTTGTTTAATTTTAATTTGGAGACATAACCTCACTATGTAGCCCTGGCTGGCCTGAAACTATATGGGCTGGCCCAAACTCAGAGCTCTGCCTGTCTGTGCTTTCCAAGTGCTGGGGTTAAAGGGGTGTGCCAGCATTCCCTGTGGAAAGACTTATTTTATTTGTAACATTTTGGTGGTAGTTCTGTAATGATAATATTTTGATGATGTTTGTTTTATAATTATAGTGTATGTACTCAACTGCAGCCTACAGAGAAGGAAGTGTTTTATTTTTTATTAGAAAATGCCAGAATCCAGATTACCTGAAAAGAGCATTTAGTTACTTGTTTTCCCATTCCTTAAAGCTCAAAACTTTACTTTGTCTCTATTTTGTATTTGTTGTGTGCCTCTGTTATACATGAAATGCTTGATTTTTTTTTTTTTTTCCAGTTCTAGATGTGTGAACTTGGACAGTTACA